CCTTCTATTTTCTCTTTTCTCTCTCTCTCTCTCTTTGTTTCTCTGCTCTTTCTTGAACATATACACACACAGATACACATAGACACACACACGTACGCACGTACACTTCGATTTTCTCATACGTGAAAGCAAATTGGTCTCGACTGGATTCGCAGGAATAGTCCTTGCCAGAATTTTCCTCAGGATACGATTTCAATCCCGATTTCTTTTTTTTTCTTTTTTTTTCTTTCCTTTTTACGAAGGAAAAGTGTATAGAGGGAAAAAAAAAAAAGTCAAAGAAAAAATACTATTACCGTCTAACGTGTGTTCTCAATTTGTTCAATCGAGAAATAACACAATCTTATGAAGTCTTATCGTATAATACAGATAAAATAGATGTAAAATAATAATGACAAATTATGCATCAAGATTTTTCATACTTTCGAATTATTATTAAGGATCGATTAACAAAATTTACGAATAAAATTTTGTAATCCTAATGAAAGAATTTGAAAAAAGTTCGATTAGAGATGATAATATTTGTATCAATTGTTGATCGCGTATAATCTGACGTGTAATGAAATTAAAAGAAACAAAAAAAGAATCAAAAGAACACAAAGACAAGAAGATAAGATAAGATAAGATAAAATTAGAAAAGGAAATAAGAAGAAGAAGACGACGAATAAAAAGAAAGAGTATGTTAATTAGGAGATCGAGGGTTGTCAAAGTAGGTTTGAAATGACTCGCAGTGGTCGTCATAGTCGTCGTTCTCATCTGTATGTATATATATATCTATGTATATATGTATACAAGTATATAGTTACGTCGACGAAACTGTACTCTCGAGTTCGTAAAGTGTGGTGTACCAGAACTCGGCCAAGTTTCCTCGGGGTCGTAAACATCGAGCCCCATAATAGGCTTTCGCAAGGCTCGCCTACTTTTGCGCTTAGTTAGCCGCATTTGTCATGAGTATTGTATATGCGAGAGGAATTTGTAGAAGCTAGTAGTAATGGTGGTGGTGTTGGTGGTGGTGGTGGTGGAAAGGATAGGGATGGTTGGGGTAGGAACGAGAGGGTGGATAAAATAACGAAGTGGAAAAGAAGTTGGGTCCACCGTTCTCGAGACTTTTCAAAAGACTACCTACGAAGACGTTGAGGTTTAGTGTTGGGGGGGGGGGGCGGGGTAGTTTGTTTTAGTTGTAGTTGTAGAAAATGTATGTAAGCTTTTCTCCTTTCGCACCTAAGGTTAACCGGGAGAATATTTTTTTTCTCCCACCCACCCTCTTCCTTTTTTTTCTGCATTTATCGTTAACTTCCAGCCACACACACACACACACACACACATGGCTTTACGTATTTTCTTATTAACTTAAATATTGTGCCCCCCCCCCCCTCCTTTACGAATATACGCCGCAAGTAAAATTATCGAGGTAATTTTGTTTTTCTTATATATTTTTTTTACACGTGTCCGAAACGGTTCGCAGAAAATTTTGTTAATTAAGCTACGAACGAGAGATAAAAAAAATAATAATTCATTAGGACGAAGAAGATATTATATATATATATATTTCTCTGTTTTTGATCATTTGTATTATTATCATTCATTCATTCATTCATTCTCGTATTCTGCTTTAACGTAATTTCTACGAGATTTTATATTTACCTATTATTATTCTATGAATGAGAGGGAGGGCAACGTTACGTGGATATCATTTTGTATTACAATATTTAATAATTTGTAATAATATATATTTCTCATATTTTTATTTTAACATTAATAAAATTACTCTCCCTCTCTCTCTC